ATCACTTCAACCAATAAGACATTTGTGTGTTCGTTTTGTGGGTGTTTGTTTATCAAATCACAACTCTCAATTTCTTGTCAGGCAAGCAGATGATATCTTACAGCTACGTCTTCTGGGCATAACCAAAATTTTCTCATTTTTTTTCCTAGGCATTTATTAAGCATATACACGAGTCTATAAAACACAGGATTAATAAATTTATCTTGGAAGAACTTGTCAAAACTCTGCAAATTTTCAAATCTGAAAAATATCTGAAACGAGTGAGAGAAGCCAGTATTATCTCAAGAAATGCATTTCATGATGGACAAGAGATAAACAGATTGCATGAAATAGATACAAGTGACAGTGACTATTCTGATTCTGATATTATATCCACAATTATGAAAAAACCATCACCAATACAAGAAGATGGTGTAAACAAGTCTGATATTTCTGAGGTTCAAGAAAAATCTACTAGCCAACAATCTACAGTTGTCACACTTGAAAATAAATCTGCAGTCTCCATGAAAACCAGAATGAATGAATGCTACTTGGCCATTAACAATTCAGATATCTCTAAGGAAGGGAAAAAAGTCGCAGAGATAAAATCTTTTAAGAGTGAGTGTCAGCAGGAAGATGCTGATATCTTAGGACCAAGTGACTCATCTGTCTTTACTTTAAACACAATAGATTGGTTAGCAGAAGCTGAAGGAACCAACAGTCATGAGAATGTTACTGAACAAACCATTGATGTTAAATTGTGCAATTTAGGTGAGAATGATAACACAGTTCATCCGAATAAATCACAAACAGGAGCTATGAACAATGAAATACCACTCACAACTGATAAATCATCCATGAAAACAGGAACTGTGAAAAAAAGGATGCCACTCAGAAAGCCAATGATAAAACTTGTATTTAAAAAAGACTCAACAGATGATGAAGCCAAACACATCAATCAGGAAGAATTAAGGAGTAATTCTGCTAAGATTGTAGGTATGCTGAGTGAACATGAAGGTACAAGTAATACTAAGGACAGTGATGAAAAAATAAACAAGGTAAACAAAAGTCTACACAATCATTTTGTTATTTGCATAAAATACTTCTAGTATCCACTGGTGATTTACATCATTGAAACCTGTATCTATGATATGCCAGGGATCATCATATTCACACTTCACACATACATCATACATCTTAAAATCTGATTCAAGTTTATTAAATTTTTGTGCAGAAAAATCTTCAGAATCAAGCATTTCTGCCATCTCAGAACCATATCTCAGTTGTGTATATATGGATTTTGTTCAAACTGTTATTGGACACTATGGCTACATTACATTGAAACCTAGAAACATTGATGCCCTCGGACAATGCACAGATCTGGGATGAAATCTGTGCATATTAAGTTCCTGATTTGTATAATAGGATCTAATAATTAGTTTTTCCATCATTTGTGTGACTATTGTCATGTTACTGACAATCCATTGGACACTTGATGTGTGACCATTGTCATGTTACTGACAATCCATTGGACACTTTTGATGTGTGACCATTGTCATGTTACTGACAATACATTGGGCACTTTTGATGTGTGACCATTGTCATGTTACTGACAATACATTGGGCACTTTTGATGTGTGACCATTGTCATGTTACCTACAATCCATTGGACACTTGATGTGTGACCATTGTCATGTTACTGACAATCCATTGGACACTTTTGATGTGTGACCATTGTCATGTAACTGACAATCTATTGGACCCTTGATGTGTGACCATTGTCATGTTACTGGCAATCCATTGGACACTTTTGATGTGTGACCATTGTCATGTTACTGACAATACATTGGGCACTTTTGATGTGTGACCATTGTCATGTTACTGACAATACATTGGGCACTTTTGATGTGTGACCATTGTCATGTTACCTACAATCCATTGGACACTTGATGTGTGACCATTGTCATGTTACTGACAATCCATTGGACACTTTTGATGTGTGACCATTGTCATGTTACTGACAATCTATTGGACACTTTTGATGTGTGGCCATTGTCATGTTACTGACAATACATTGGGCACTTTTGATGTGTGACCATTGTCATGTTACCTACAATCCATTGGACACTTGATGTGTGACCATTGTCATGTTACTGACAATCTATTGGACCCTTGATGTGTGACCATTGTCATGTTACTGACAATCCATTGGATACTTTTGTTGTGTGACCATTGTCATGTTACCTACAATCCATTGGACCCTTGATGTGTGACCATTGTCATGTTACTGACAATCCATTGGACCCTTGATGTGTGACCATTGTCATGTTACTGACAATATATTGGACACTTTTGATGTTTGACCATTGTCATGTTACTGACAATCCATTGGACCCTTGATGTGTGACCATTGTTATGTTACTGAAAATC